TTTTTTTCCTTCCTCTTTTTTCCAATTTATATTTTTACTTTATTGATTTATTTATTTTTATTATATTATCTATTCCATATTGGACATCATAATACCATACCATCTGTTTTTCATACACACACAAATACACACACACACACACACACACCCCTACCTATATACGTATCATTGTAACTTTATGTTGTTTTCTGTTGTTGTTTGTACTGTATGTCCACTGTTTGTACTCCACTTGGTGTAATGTATTTGTCCTCTATGTCACCTTGTCTGTTGTCACATAATTTCACCAATTTAAAAAAAAAAAAAAAAAAAAATGGAATAGAATTAAACCAGAACCACAGGAGCTACAGTCTCAGAGCCCGTCCATCTGACGACAATAAGCCTCTAGGGGCGACTGTCAATATTTTGGGGGTTCCGGTATAGTCAGGGAATATCCAAGCGGAGACTTCCTCTTCAGTGCAACAGTCATTTTGGCTAATCTCTAAAAACAGATATCTGCATTTGAAACAGATTTTAAACAACTAATATAAAGGTTCATCGATGTCAGGCAATGGCTGATAGGTTCCAGGATTGCATTTCGGCCAATGCGTTCAGCCTCTCTTGCTCTCCACGTGGACTGTTTACCTACCACATAAATCTATTGGTCAGTACTACTTGGACTACAAACGGAAATGGGACACTCCTGATAACACATCATGTACCGTTCCCCACCGATTCCACATTTGTATGTGGATATCTGCTTTTAAAGATTACAGGAAATCTATGTCTGTCTTCTCAAAAACAACTTGGATGCATGTTTCAGTACTTCTCCATGTTCTACTAAAAAGGCAAGTTGATTGCAGTTCTATTTCTTCTGAAATCTTTAATCCTGTCTCTCGCTCCTGTACTGTGTCGCTCTCCCACATCCCACAACTTTTCCTCAAATTTGAATTAAAACTAAATTTGGCAACAGTGGCTCATCTTTTGACAGACGGCAGAGAAACATTTCAGTAAAAGACTGGTTGGACTGGAAGCGTAATAATTCTGGGTAAATGATCTACTTGCAATTGAATCCAAAATGAAACTGCGCCCAGCTTTACCAAATCAACATGTGGTAGAAGAAAGCAATACAATGTTAAGGCTGATCATCAAATACTAGATAATAGTGGGGAAAAAACAGCTGCAAAGCAAAACAATTTTGGTTGCCTTAAAAAAAGATTCACTGGTAAAGAAAGAGAAAACACAACTTGGATGAGAAGGATCAGAAAACCAATACCTCTTGTGTGTTGGGTAAAAATTAAATATTTCAGAAAACTAAATGAGTATGTGATGTACCTGATCTAAATCTATCTGTCAATCTGTTCCTGTCCTGTCCAGGCCACTATGACTACCACTACGGCTACAAGTCCTACGATGTGAAAGACTCAGCCTACGGCCAGAAGTTTGGCAATACGGTGACCTACTATTACGACAACATGAGCAGCAACGACCTTTACTCCGTCGACCAGGACCTGCTGAAGGACTACATCAAGAGGCAGATGTAAGTTTAGATTCTCTCTTTCTCCTTAAACACAGAACACCCTAACAAATACAGGATCTTGGCCGTATTGCAGGATTGCAGTCTAACCTGCAGATGTGCTGTTGAAGTGATGAGCTCTTCATGTCTCTTCTCTGACTAAACACCAATGAAGAGAAGTTTCACAACTCTGATCTCAGCATTTATATAGAACAACAAAAAGAGAGAAAAAATTGAACATGTGGTTGCAGTTATTCATTGCTGAACATACAGTGCTGTTGCGATGGTAGATTTTAAGCTTTATTCAGATATTAACTTGATGAGTACCTCTAAAGTGGGTTGTTAAGTAGTCTGATCCAATTTTTCCAGTTGTTGGTCTTTGCCCCAACTTTTTTCCTGACCACAGTTTCGACTACGAGCTTGTCGTCTGTTCAGGATTCAAGCTGTGTAGTCCAGGCTATATGCGAGGCTTGAAAAGTCTACAAAAGCATTGTCCTCAAAATTAAGGCCTTAAAATGTATTAAAAAGTCTTAACTTGACTTTACAAAGGCCGCTGTAGGCAGTAATTCTCTATGGTTTTAAAAGGTTTTAAAAACTCTTAAATGTAATCTGGTGAACGCTGCAGAAACCTTGTGAGATGGTCAATAAGCCTTGTTGTTTAGATGTGATCAATTTTGGTACATATGAAATCCTGAATTTGGTTTTTGTCACATAATCTGAGCAAAAATAATCTGATCAAAGCAAAAATACGTTTACGTCAACTGGCCTAAATGTTGAGATGTTTTGTGATTCTTATCAATTACAATATAAAATAAAAGTAGCTAATCTCTCTTCTTGCTCTTGTTCACATAACAGAAGAAGTGGTGACAGTAGCATAACAGTTTCCTTGTGTGAACTCAGTGCCCCCTTCAGTTTAAATCTGTCTCAAGTTACTCAGAGACTTTGAAATCCTGTCAAAAATGCTGGTTTTGATTAGTGGTTCTTTGGGAGGTATTTGGCTCCATGTGACACACTTGAAAAGCAACGGCTGTTTCCAGTGTTTTCACTAAGTGTTTTCTGTCTCATTAATGCAGCCCTATGTGGTCTCATCCTGTTTTCATTCTTTCTCTTCGTCATCTGACTGGGTGCTTCTCATTTGTTTCAAATGTCTCTTCGTTTCCATCACTTGTGTTGTCTCTTTGCATCTTAGTCCCTCCAGTGTTAGACACAGGAAAAGCTGTGAAGTAACAAAACCAAACATGTGATTTTATGCCTCTGTGATAGCCGTGGCTGGAGGCAGTATGTTTTGGGGTTTTCCGCCTGTCCATTCCATTCTCATGAACACAATAGCTCAAGACTGCCTTGAGGGAATTTCTGCAAATGTGGCACAAACATCCACTAGGACTCAACAATGATAAGATTCTGGTGGTCAGTGGTCATAGGTCAAAGGACAAGGTCACCATGACCTTGTCTATTTCATTCTTGTGTATGCGATGTCTCAATGACATCTGAAGAGATTTTTGTTTTAGATTTTGCACAAATGCTCACTTGAACTTAATGATAAAATAATTTGATTCAGGTGGTCAAAGGACAAGGTCACTGTGACCTCGTCGGTCTCATTCTTGTGAATGTGATATCTCAAGAACACCTTGAGACAATTTCTTCAAATTTGGCACAAACGCTCACTTAAAATCAACAATGAGCGTATAAGATTTTGGTAGTCAAAGGCCAATGTCACTGTGACCTTGCGTCCGTCTCATTCTCGTTATTGCAAAAACCCGAGGACCTTGAAGGAATTTCTTTAAATTTGGCACAAATGTCCACTGGGACTCATGAGAATTTGGTGGTCAAAGGTCAAGGTCACTGTGAGCTTACAAAACATGTTTTTGACCATAGCGCAAGAATTCATGAGCTTATTATAACAAAATATCACACAAATGTCGAATAGGATGAAATTATGAGGTGAAGACATTTTGTACATGCATGAAACTGTACGTGTACAATATGTGTGAGAAGCATCCGTTTTTACAGACATGAATGTAAACTGTTGGTGCAGCTTGACTGGTGCACGGAGGCATACAATAGCGAGGTGGTAATTCTAGTTTACCCTGTTCCTCTGCCCCCTGCAGTGAGTACTACTTCAGCCTGGACAACCTAGAGCGTGACTTCTTCCTGCGGAGGAAGATGGACCAGGAGGGTTTCCTGCCCATTGGACTCGTCGCCAGTTTCCACAGAGTGCAGGCCCTCACCACCGACGTCAACCTCATCCTGGAAGTAAGCATATTTAGAAATGACAAGTGTATTTTGAGAGAGATGATATTGTGGTAAGAGGAGTCAAAACTGGTTTTAAACAATATCAAAACTGTTTCCTACCCAAAGTTAATTGAATTTTGGGAAATTGAAGCAATGACACAAAAATTATGTTAACAGTCACACCAGCTACAGTTTAAGTTAAAACATTTATAAAGTATTTCAAATGACAACTCCCAGAATAGCTGTTGAGATTTAAAAGCAGAGGAGAAAAATTGAGTAAGGTTGATATAATTCCAAAAACAAAGTCAAAGAAAAGTTGAGCCTCTTCAGCTTGTCTAACAGGTAGCTGACTACAGCTGACATCTTCCAGACTACAGGTTATTTACAGTGAGCTTTTGTTGATCTTTAATAAAACGCTAAAATATACAGTGTGGTTTAAACGTTGGTTAGCATACGTAGCAATATTGATGTGTTAAAAATTTTGGTTGTATCCTACTAATTAAAAATCGCATTTTTGGAGTCGATCTAAATGCAAACCTGTCTCCTGAAAGCTCTACATTAAAAACAGTGTTTGACCTATTGTCCCTAGACATCAGTGAGAACCTTAATGCAGAGATGGTACTGTGCTGTACAGACTGACTGACCCATCATCTCTCCCATCAGGCTTTGAAGGACAGTAAGGAAGTGGAAGTGATCGACATGAAGATCCGTCGGAAGGTGGACCCAGAGAAGTGGCCTCTGCCAGGACTGGCCATGCCTAACCAAACCCACACAGATTTCTCTCAGCTCATCAACTGCCCTGAGTTTGTCCCGAGGCAGATGACCGAGGAGCCCAAAGGTGAACTGTCTGATCTGCTTTTAGAGAAAGAGAATTAATGGAAAAGAATGAAGTTAATTGTTCTTGATTGTACTGCTGAGATCTGCCTTAAAATGTTCTCTATGACTCTCTGTCTGCTGCAGGCTCTCCCAGGTCCTCCACACCAGTGAAGCAAAACAGCAAGACTGAACTAGACACCTCTAACCTCAAGACGATGCCCAAGGGCCTCTCCGCTAGCCTCCCCGACCTGGACTCTGAGTCCTGGATCGAGGTCAAGAAGAGGCCCAGACCGTCCCCGGCCAGACCCAAGGTCAGCACAGAGAAGGTGAAATTCATTTAAACCTGGCAGGAATTATTTATAATGCCACTCACCCATATGATCGTTATGTCAAGTTTACCATTCAGTGGTTTGACATGGACTGTGATGCAGAGTGGCCACGTGCCAGCAGAAACTTGTTGTCGTAAAGTCACAGAAATACACCTGTAAATGCCTTAAATAAAATTTTGTTCTCTGGATCATTGAACTTTCATTGATCTCTTGCAAAAATGGGAGCAAAAACAAAAGTGTTTCATTTATATTTTACACAATATTCCATTATTAAACATTCAACAAATTTGTCTTTTTTTCAGCTATTTTCATGCATTTTTATTGCACAAGAAAACTACTGTCCTCATCTTATACTTAACGTGTCACGTTGGTATCCTTCTCTTCCATTCACTTCTTTTCGTACCTGCTATCTCCTCCTCCTGTGTTGTCGGTGTTGATTGACTGATGTAGGCCCCCTCGTTGCAGCAACAGAAGGAAAAGGACGACTCGGTTCGCTCCCCTGTGCCTCAGCCTGGCTCCTCACCCTCGGCTGCCACCACAGGAAATAAGGTGTGGAAGAACATTTGTTGAAACTGAAAAATAGAAAAGCAGCAAATCCCCACATTCAAGAAGCTTGAACCAGAGAATATTTGACATTATTGCTTGATAAATTACCTTATATGGCTAATTGATGATCATAGTTGGTTTCCTTCTGAATTTTCTGAAGATTAACTGATCAAATTTTCGTAAATAGTTGTTAGTAATTTCCCCAATTAAATTCAGTAATTGCACATGATCAAACATGGTGATCAAAAGTGAGCTCATAATCAGGCAACACCTTCTAATCATTTCTTGTTTTTTGTTTGTTCTTTGCCTCTAATCAGGACGGAGCGGAGCAGGACGAACCGGAGGAGCTTGACTTCATGTTCGACGAGGAGATGGAGCAGATGGACGGACGGCGCAACACCTTCACCGACTGGTCGGACGAGGAGACGGACGGCGAGATCGACGACCACGACGTCAACAAGATCTTGATCGTGACACAGACGCCGCCCTACCTGAGGAAGCACCCAGGAGGGGACCGCACGGGACACCACACATCGCGCGCCAAGCTCTCGAGCGAGCTGGTCAAAGTGATCAACGACGGGCTCTTCTACTACGAGCAGGACCTGTGGGACGACACGTACGAGCCCGAGTACGCCACCATCAAGGTGAGGTCATTTTTCAGGGTTGACCTTTGAATGATTTACAGTCAGGGTGAGATTGTTCTGCTTGATTCTGCCAGCGTAGAGCACCAAATGTTCCTCAGCTTAATGATCTTTATAATGGAGCAGTTAGATTCCAAATGATTATTATAAAAGGGAAAAACTCTCTGCTTTTGCATTTGGGTTTTTTCTTTGTTGCATCAATAGTCTGAGGAACTGCTGTGGTTCAGTAAGTGTCACTTTAGTCAAAGGAGCTATATGTAAGAAATCTAAAGCAGATAGTCGTAAAATCATCCTAATATGTCACAGAGACTAAGGAATAATGTTCATATAAAATACTGATCTCACCGACAACAATAGTACAGCCAGAATATTCGCATTAAAAAAAAATCTTTACGGTCCACAAATTATGTTTATGTTTTGAATTTGTGTTTTGGCCTGTTGCGCCACCCACCGCCGTCTACCAGTCACGCAGTCAGTAGAGTCTCAGCATCAGTTACAGTTAAGACTGAGCTACAGCAGCACAGCAAGCAGCATTAGCAGTGTCCCGGTACATAGCATTAGCAGCCGGCTCCTCCGCTGTATCCTGGCAGCAGCGTTAGCAGCAGAGAAGCCGGACTTGCTCGAATGGTCCGCTGGAAAACCAAAGATCAAGGACGCGGTGACGTGGCCCTGCCACGGCAGCCGCCCCTGGACAAACAAATCAGTCTCCAGTGTGCCGCTGTCCAGCAACCTCGAATCTGTAGGGGAGGGGGGGGGCGGACCCGACTTGCGGCAGTATTTTGAATTTGAGTGCAGTAACCGTTTTGGCCACATTCTTACATACAGCGCCTTTAAGAGTATGAAATAAATATTTAACATAATTTTAGTTATAGTTCAAACAGTGAGATTAAAAATCACACTTAAAAATATTTGGAACACCACAGTCTGCATCAAGAAGCTGTCTGTGCGCCTGTACTCAAAGTCAAATTACAAAATCTGATCCTAAGGTTGCTTTTCCTACATTCAGTTTATATTTAATCCCTTAAAAACGTATATATGAGCTACTTCAATTTTTCAAGTCTTTTGTAGTACTAAGGTAGGTCAGTTTTCTTTTTTTATAAGTTGTGATACAAAAGATAACGCCAAACAAAATGCATTTAAATTTCGACCAAATTTAATTTGCATAAGTGACAAAGCAGATTATGTTCTCAAATACCAACAAAACATCCTGTTTGTAAAGCTGACATCACATCTCAGCTGGGGTAATGTTTTCCTTTTAGGCAGATTCAATTTCAGTTTTCAGCACCAAACTTTATTAAACCACATTTTCTAAATTTCGGCTTATTTCAGATCTCATTAGCCCACTTTTCTTTAAACAACTGAAAAAACTAAATCCTTAATCACACCTATATCAGCTTTTTCTTTTAAAAATGTAAGCTTCTTCACACCCTAATTTTTGAAATAAAACATGTAACAGGGATGTGTTTAAAACAATAAGATGTTACACCAAAAGGGGGATGTGATATCAGGTCACAGATAAACAGTATTTTTTCATTAATTAGATTAATGTTCAACTGGATTTTATGTCACCATCCACCCAGAACTTTTGTGTTTTATGAACACCACATACATAATAGATGAAGTCCTCTTTCCATGCTGGCAGCTTAGGAAATTCTTGTTATTCTTGAAATTCTAATTGAATGTAAAGAGCTAAAAAAGAAGTACAAAATCCCTTTAAACTGCTTTTAAAATCTGATTTTCACACAGATTGTGTCATTGATTTGTTTTTTTCTTTTTCTACAAGATGTTTGCAGGTCTTTATAAAAAGTTTTAAGAATCCTTTATGTAAATTAATTTAATTTTATTAATGCATATTTAATTTTTTTTTGTTAAAGAGTTAAGTTTGAGTTTAGCTAGAAAGTCCACATTTCTGACTTTACAAATCTTTAAACCTACCACTGAACCTAATACAATCTTTTTACCTTGTACTTGTATATTTATAAAGTACAGTTGGCAAAATATAGATTAACTTAACTCACTCTTAATATCCTTATTCCTAAATAAAACCTACCCCTGCTGTGTATACAACTCACCTTTATACCTGCAATCTTCGAATAAGAAAAAGCATCTGAAAAAGATTTTTAAAATCATTAAATTTAAGTGTCTGTTACCTGAAGGCACCCTGTCAAAGTAAAACTATAAATTGCAGATTTGTTTTTGTCATAAAAACAAAACTCATTGTCATATTGGAGGTGTTTCTGCCCAAGACCAGATGATGAGTAGATTGATTCTTCCTCAGTTAGAGCTGTTTCTGGATATAGAAACCCGACACAGAACAGAAAGTTTTTTTGTTTTGTTTTTGTTGTCATCGCTGCCCATTGTAGCATTGTTGCTCTCATTGTGGGCCCTTCACGTGCTCGCCGGCACACATCCAGCTCCGCGTGGAACAGAGGACGCTTGTTTATAAATAAACCCCACATACTCAGCCTCGGCCTGAGGGGTCGAGCTGCTGGGCTGCAGGGGGAGACAAAGATGGACGCTCAAAGATCTGAGGATACTTGGTGGAATGAAGGGGCGAGTGTGAGTGTGACAATAATCAAGCATTCAGGGGCTGGTACATGAGACTTGTTTTGTTTGTTGTTTTTTATAGAAAGATTTTGAATTGAGCTGCTGTTGGAGGAGGAGCAGTAACTGTTTTGTTGGTAGGAGGTCTTCACTCATGGAAAATTCAGGGTTTTGCATGTTGATGTAACTCAGCTGGGTTGTGTACTCGTGTCAGTGAGAGGTGGCATCATGAAGGTGAAACGCGTGTTTTTGGCAGCCATGTTTTGCTGCTGCATCTCAATCTCCAGATTACTGCAGATAAGGTCTGTTGATGATCCTCGTGTGATATGACCCAAATTATTATTTTGATTTTTTTTTAAAATTTACTCTTAATATATACATTTTGGTAAAGAGCCTGAGTTTCGGTGCAGTCTGCATTTTAATCAAGAGATTTGTTTCATTTCAGTATGTGTATCGCTATCTTCATTGCCAAAAAAATCCTTTTTTTCTGTCCTTTTTAAAATAATTTTATTATTTAGCCAAAAAAAAAGGACAATCTGCAGATCTTTTTCTATCAGAGTTGTATTAAGAAGAAGAGGAAGAAGTTGTTGTCATCATATTAACATCTGTTTTTCTTCGTCTTACAGCAAGAGGTGGAGAACTTCAAGAAGGTCCACCTGATCAGCCGCGAACAGTTTGACTGCCTGACTCCTGAACCCCCAGTCGACCCCAACCAGGAAGTCCCTCCAGGCCCTCCCAAACCCCAGCAGAGTAAGGACACAAAAACACATAAATCATGATGTTTTAGCATAATCAACTCTGCCTTTACTAGTGTTGAACACAGGGCGTAAAATGAACTTTTTACCTCCTCTGCCATTGGCTAGTGACCTCCAAAAATTTAATGTATTTTTCACCAGCCAAATTAAAAAAATCATACCTTGTTTGACTAAAAATAATTACCTTACATTTTTAGTATGAAAATCCAACTTTAGGAAAATCCAACCCTGTCCTTTGTGTTTCTTTGGCGTGCTTGCAGCAAAGGCTGCAGCTCATCGTGCTGGTGTGGGGGTCATAGGTCAGCCATGATCGCGGCTGGCCAGCCTCGTCTAGTTTCCATTCTTCAATAAAACGGCGTGCGACATTTGTACTCCATTCTTCTTGTCCAAGTCCAACATGTTAATCTTCATTTCTTTCCTTTTCTGGTGGTGGCTTCACGGCAGGAATGTGTCGCCACATCTTGCTCAGAAGTTACCATAGAATGCCGGGGTTCCGAGAGCTGACGTCTTGGGTTCCAGGCACACATACAATAAGCTGCGAAGGTCAAAATAGTCTGACAGAGCTGGCAGAAATGGTCGAAGCACATAAAAAAACCCACATGCAATTCCAAATTTTCCATTGGCCGCTGGCAGGTGTATGTTTTTGTTTTACACACCAAACTCATTTTTTACCCGCCCTTGCCCTTTTATGCCCTGGTTGAACAGTACTCCGATTCTAGAGAGATATCACCATACGCAAACAGTACAATGTCCCATTCCATACCCACATTCTGACACTTTCAGAAGGACAGTTTTAAAAAGAGGCGTATATGTGCAGCACTCTGCAGAGTTCACAACTTGTTCTGTGCAAGTGAACCCAGGGAAGTTGAATGCCTCATGCAGTTGTCCGTATGGGCGAGGGAAAATAATTGTTATGTCTAGTGAGACGTTATCTGAAAATAAACTGCATACTGTGTTGTTAAAGTTGAGTTTTCTAGCCAAGCTGCGTGCACGAGTCTCTTTAGCCACCAAGCTTTCAACAGGACTGACGAAAAATTGGAAATACTGGACCCCGTAAAAGTTAACTCTGGGGCCGACGATGTTATGACATAACGTTACTGACATAAAATATCTTAGAAATGCTGCCTATGAGAGACAGAGGCTGTGTTCCTGACTGTGGAGGATAAAAATAAACCTAAGGGGACACGAAATGTACTCCTGCTACATAAAATATTTTTCCGACCTTTCTTTAATTTGTTAGTTTCATGTAAAAATCTGGAAACTTTTACTTCTTCAGGCCTCTAAAAATTATTGTCACGACACAATTTCTCAGAAAGATCTTAAGATAAAGACATGTTTCCTTTGTGTCAGGAAAAACCTGTCATACAAACATCAATCAACAATCTGTAACTTCCAACGGGAAAATGATGTTGTATATTCCGGTTAATATAGTATTTAGTGTCTAAATATGCTCCTGTTTTTAAGAATTGCTCGCCCTAATTTTATTCAGTGATGAGAGTTGTCTTGTTTTTCATTTTAACTTTAATTAAACGGATGCTCAAAAGTGATAAATTAATGTTGATTGAAATTGCCCACAGTCATTCTGTTGGAGTGATAAAAGCTCACATTAGTCTGTCATCAGTCATGAGCTCTGTGACTCTGCACGCTGAGAAATAAATGAAGCTGTTAGGTAACTGATGTTGTTGCTCTTTTAATGACTTTCCAGAGTCTTATCGAAGGATTTGTGAGACAGAAGTGAAGCACACTGAGTTTCCTTACAAGTCTTAAGGCAGTTTGTTACAGCTCTGGTTTTGGAGCTTCCGCTCAAATGTCTCTCCTCACCTCTTCAGTCCCCACAGACGCTTTGGCCAACAAACTCTTCGGTGCCCCTGAGCCCTCCTCAATAGCCCGCTCGCTCCCGACTACCGTGCCTGACTCGCCCAACTACCGCAGTGCCCGGACGCCCCGCACGCCTCGCACACCTCATCGGAAGGACCAGACCATGACGCCGCGCTTCTACCCAGTGGTAAAGGAAAGTCGGCCTGTTGATGCCAAGGTAAGATGGCTGCCACTTAAGGGAAATATAAGACTTAGTTAAGTGAAAATGTGCCTTTTGGTGGTTCCTTTACCTGGTTTTAAAAATGTAGGAGATGGAAAAAAACCACACTGACTAAACATGTAAATTATCTCTGTACCCTCTCAGACGCCCAGGAAGAGGAAGACCCGACACAGCTCCAACCCACCCATGGAGTGTCATGTTGGCTGGGTGATGGACTCCAGAGAGCATCGCTCCCGTACGGCCTCTGTCAGGTGAGACACTGCTTTGCACAACTCCTTAATACGGAAATTACAAGATTTTAGAGAAAACTATTGTCTTGTATTGGGGCAAATACAGTAGTAAGTTTCTTGGTATGCTGTTTTTCTTTTGACAACTCCTCTGATATTTCAACGATTGCTCATTTGTTGCTTTAATCAGTGATGAAGTTGCTTTATTCATTCTAACTGGCATTAAATTGATCTTAAAAAGTCTTAAATCAATTGTAAATAGACTCAGGACAAACTTCACCACCAGATAGTTCTAATATTTGATGTAGGTAGTACTTACTGTTCTCCATCTCCTCCACCTTTCTCCTTCTCAGCTCCAACGCCAGCCCATCAGAGGGAACCCCCGCTCTGGGTAACATTGGCTGCACACCTCAGTCCCTCCCCAAGTTCCAGCACCCATCACACGAGCTGCTCAAGGAGAACGGCTTCACGCAACACGTTTACCACAAGTACCGCCGGCGCTGCCTAAATGGTACGCGTTGTCTCTTCTACTTTTTTATTTATTCTGTCTTCAAGTGTCAGTAAACTCTATTCTGCAGTGAAGGGATACTGGGTGTCTTGGATCATCTTATATTTTTAGTAACCCCATCTACTTTCTCTCTCTCTCCTCTTGACCAATCACAGAGCGCAAGCGGCTTGGAATCGGCCAGTCACAGGAGATGAACACGCTTTTCCGCTTCTGGTCATTTTTCCTGCGAGATCACTTCAACAGGAAGATGTATGAGGAGTTTAGACAGCTGGTGGTCGAGGATGGGAAAGAAGGATACAGGTGAGAGCCTTGACCACTGATGGATGACTGCATATGCAGCAGTAACACTACCATTTGAAATTTTGAATTAGAAAACCATGTCTGCAGTTGTAGTAGACAAAATAAGATATGACCTTCTGTAGTAACATTAGTTTTTACAGAGAGCTTTAAATTGGTTGATTGGACCAGACTTAATAATAACATTGTACACATTGTTGGCATGTTGCAGGTACGGTTTGGAGTGCCTGTTCAGGTACTACAGCTACGGTCTAGAGAGGAAGTTCAGGCCAGACATCTTCAAGGACTTCCAGGAGGAGACCATGAAAGACTACGAAGCTGGTGAGGACACCGGAAAAAGAAAAGGCTAAATGATGGCTTTAAACAACACAAATACCAACGCATTTCTGTTCTGTTTTTCAAGTCTGAGTTTCTTTTCCTCTTTCATAGAGAGAGATTCACTTTCAGACTCTCCTCATCCGCTGTGACTAACTTTCTGTATTTTTCTTTCCTGTCCCCAGGCCAGCTTTATGGACTGGAGAAGTTCTGGGCCTTCCTTAAATACTCCAAAGCCAAGACCTTGGAAATCGACCCCAAGCTGCAGGAGTACCTGAGCAAGTTTAAGCGTCTGGAAGATTTCAGAGTTGACGTGAGTAGAATATTCTTCAGGGTTTGTAAAGGCTGATTGGTCGGAATTTTCAACCCTGTAAAGACGCCTCAGATCAGTTTTTTTCACCTGAACGTTTGCTACATGGTGTGTTAACAGTTACGTGGATAGTTGATAAGAAATGGTCTGTGACTGCTTTATGGTCTTCTGCTAGCTCTAGCATTTCTGCAGTGGTATCCTTTTATTCCAAGTCAGTTTACTAAAAATACACATTCGACATTTAAATGAACTCCTGACTTCACCTGTGTGCTGATTGTGTTGTTTGTGTTGTGCTTTGAAAACAACTCTCCATCTAACCTCCACCCTGGTTATTTCTGGTTCCAGCCGCCTATGGAGGAAGGAGGACGCCGAAGACACTCATCCAGTGGGGACGGTCGCCGCCGGCACCCCTCTCAGCCCTCCAGTCGGCCCCACAGCCAGGCCAGCTCAGGCCCCAGCCCCGCTCCCACCACCCAAGGCCCCGCAGCCAGGGATGATGCCAAACCCATCAACCAGAAAGCCCCCACCCCAGCCGCTGATCCCGCACCAGGTGCCAAGACACTGAAGTAACTCCACAAACACGCAGGCCCACACGGATCAACTCAACCACGTCTGCAAGTCGCTGGTTCTCTCTGCGCCACAGGATGGGGGAGGGGGTGTCCAGTTCTTCATTCAAGCATGAGAATATATTTTTTTCCCCCTACAATGACTTTTGAATGAGAAATAAGGAAGACAAATAATTAATATGGCTCGGTTTATAAATTAATTCTAAGTTTTTGAGAAAAAAAAATGCCTTTTTGTCTTGATGAGGCAAGGAATTGATGAGGTGTCAAACACTTTTTTTTTTCTTTTACATATCATTGCCAGTCCACACGGTGGACGGCTCAATGATGATTTGTTACCATTGAAATTTTTCTTTATTTTTTTCTTTTTACTATTTTTACATTTTCATGTTGACCCCCCTCTCTGTCTGGGACCCCTGTTCGATCGTCACTGTCCTGCTGGCTGAAAGATATTTGATTCCTCCCCCAGATCTCAGATTTATGATTATTATTTCTTCGGCATGTGGTGAGACTTGGAAATAGTTTGAACAAGACTGAGCATCTGAAAGCCCCGTTAGCGGCCACACTGGAGGCCTTGCTGCTCCTGACATCCAACCGGACCAAAGTGGTTTGAACCGAGCGACTGACATTTCCATCTGCAGAGCCCCCGGTGCTCCCAGTAGAGGGGCTAAAAATTAAAAAATATTTGATTTACTTTATGGCTGGACATTGAGGGGAAAATATTAAAGAACCAAAAGATAAAGAGAGTGAGAAAAAAAAAGACTTGTACCAATCCCTCAGTATGGACACGATCATTGAAAGTTGCCTTATTTTAATGGTTTTACTGCTTCTAACTTGTGCCCGCCACCTTATTGTCGATTGTACAGCATTGAAATCACCCATATATCTGGTCACCATTTCCAGCAGAGGCCACTAGGTGGTGCTGTGTCTGCCAAACCGTTTCACAACCCCCCCCCCCCACTCCCCTCCGTCACCTTTTCTGAACTGTCTTCCAAGTGTCATTCGGTCTGTTACAAGTCCTGTAATTCTTCCCTGTGTTTGCAAGTCGTGGCTTTTTGTGCTGAAACAAACCCGGTGGAAGTTTGTCCCTTAAAAAAAAAAACACTTTAGTGGGGTGAAGAGTTGGGAAGGGAGAGTCCCTGATGATCTCCCTTATGGCTGCTTCCTGACTTTCTCTAGCCCCCCTGCCCCCGCACCTCCCCCCTCAGACGAGCTGCATCCATCCGTTCATCCATCCGTTTGACATCCATCCATCAGTCAACCATCAGTGACGATACAGGACTGGAATCATCAATCCGGATTACTTGAAGAAGCGATGGTTATGAAGAGGGCTGTCGTGCTCTGTCGCAGGTGCTCTGGGTGGAGACACTAATGAGGCGCAGACATTTGGCCTCCGACTTCACTGTTAAACTGAAGCTCGCTCGGCCTGATCAGGCCTCGGGCGCTCGCCACCTCTTCCCGTTCCACACTCAGATAACATATATCAGTTACAGGCATATACGCTGACAGGTGTAGTCGCACGCAGGTACATATGTAGCAGCGTGAGCAAGTTGAATGCAGAACACACACACACACACACACACACACACGTCTCAATGTCTTGCCTCGCTGTGGACAGAAATTTAAGACTGGACTCTGTTCTGTCGTCACGCTTCCTACAGTCAACCGTGTGGATAATGAAACCTTTATCCAGCTGGAGTACTGATGATATCAAATAGAAGAGTGAATCTTTCTTTCTCCACTAATGTAAATGTGAATTTGACAGATGAAGAGAAATGAATACAGCTCCCTGCTACTTGTTTTATTGTTTATAGAACAGATTATATATTTGCCTTACATGTGTACGTACTCTAACTTTTTTTTTTTTTTTTTTTTTTAAATGGTCTCATGATTATCTTTTAATGCTTTTTAATTTCAATTTGCAGTGTTTTCTAGTGTTGTTGTGATGATGGAGGTGGGATTTATGTCAGGCTGTTCAAAACATCTTTGGATTTCAGAAACGGGAACATAATTTACAACACAAAAGGGAAAGATAACATCAGGACGTCAACGGGTATTCAGTGCAGAAACTTAATTTGTAAGCTTATAGTGTTTCATGTTGAAATCAGTTAATTTGCTCTTTTTTTTTCTTTAGTGAAGATGTTTTTGCCAAGATGACAGCAGAATTTCTAAGAGCAAACTCAAACTAATTAACAAATCTTAAACCTCCTGTTTTTTTTTTTCTTTAGATAAACATTGGGTCTGCAAAGTCTAAAACGCATAGAAATGATTTGATTTGGGGATTTAAGACATTCACAAAATTCTGGAAAAAAAAACTTTTGAGTCTTAATATACATATGGATATCCAGATGCTTAGTGAAATGACCCACTTTCTGTAACATGCTGCAATGTTTGTTGCAAGCCTTTTGCCCCAGAGTGATGAAATGTTAACTGTCAAACAGCCCAGTCACATGAGTAAAAAAGTTCATTTGAGGAGTTAAGAGTTTGGAAATTGCCTGACATTTTTTTTTAAATCAAACTGTATTGGACATCTCTGTTTTTTTTGTTTTATTTTGTTTTTGTTTTTTAAGTCTTTGTCCTTTTGCGTAATAATAATTCAGCCTGTTGGTTGAAGTTCCAGCAGAGTGGAGGTCCTGTCAGTGTTTCAGTTTCTTCCTTTAAATCCACAACTGTTGGTAAAAATGAAAATGCAAAGCAAAGCTGTACTTGCTTTTTTTTTTTTTTTTTTTCCTTTATTGTTTTGTTGCTTCATCTTCAGGGAGATTTGGATCAGTTTCAGAGGCTTACAGTCGATGCATCAAAGTGTTTACTAGAGGTTTAAATACAGAAAAAAAATCAGAGCTACAAAATATTCAGAAAAGAAGAAACTTGTGCATTTCCCAAAACCAGCAAACGCCTTTGAATGGGTGAGCTGGTGTGTGGCTACAGACATGGCAGTCTGCCACTAGGGGGTGGGCCTTCTCCCTGGGACAGTCGCATGATCCCTCCCTCTAATGTGATCATCACCTGCCATCACCTGTCACCGGACGTTCGGGGGTTTCAGGTGTTTGGGGAGTTTTCAGCCTTCTATCAGCATAAAAAATGCTGCTAGGTGTCCAAACAAACTCTAGGGGGCACCGCACCCTCTGCTTGTCAGTTTTACACAGACTTGGCCAGCGGGCCGGACACTGGAGGGATGAGTAATGGATGTGGGGAGGGAGAGAGGAGAAAGGAAAGAAAGAGCCCAACTGGGATTTGTGATGTCGCTCAGAGGAATATGGCTGGTTATGATGTCTGGAGACTGAAAAAAAGGACAAATTTCCATAAAGCCATATGAATAAGAAATAACTGTATATGAACCATTAAAATAGTTCATTACATTACTATATCCTAGGCTTGTCATGAGGAAAAAAAGATGAAAATAAGGAAAAAAGGAACAAAAAAATATATAAAATGGAAAAATGTAAAATACTTGAATGAGATCTTGTATTATAACATTTAATATTCATAATATCTGCTTTGTAGGCTGATGTGATTCGCTATTAGTGTTATTTGTAATTTGTAGTAATTATGCTTTTCCTTAATAAAGAAAAAAAAACACAAAACGGACAAAAAAACCTCAAACACTGGCTTCTGAGTGGTTATTTTTGTCATGTGTGAGACTGAATGAGTGAACTTTGCAAAGAAACTAACAAAGCCAGATGTCTGTTTTTTAGGCTCATGTTAACCCTTAGTAATGTCTATCTAGCAGTGTGAATAGTTCAAGGTTTTGTTATTGTTTTGAAGGAGTTGATCATTTCTGTTGTGTCCAGGGTTTCCACAGGGTGTTTTTAACACACTATATTTTGACTGTGGTATTCCTTCTTTTGACAAATTAAACAATGACAAGTTTTCCAACACTGAAATTTTGACATACCATGATTCTGAGTTTTTTGGATACACAATACTGACTTCTTAAACCATGTTATTCAACATATACCATGAGTTTTTCAACATACTAAACTATGGCTTTTTTCAACCTATTAACTATGACTTTTTTTCAACACACTATACCATGACCTTTTTCAACATACCAAACTACAACTTTTTTCAACATACTAAAGTATGACTTTTCAACACACTATACTATGACTTTTTTCAACACACTATGACTTTTTTCAACATACTATACTATGACTTTTCAACATACTATACTATGACTTTTTTCAACATACTATACTATGACTTTTCAACATACTATACTATGACTTTTCAGTATACTATACTATGACTTTTTTCAACATGCTGTACTATGACTTTTGAACATACTATACTATGACTGTTTTCAACATGCTTTACCATGACCTTTTTAACATACTAAATTATGACTTTTCAAGACACTATAAGATGACTTTTTTACAACATACTATACTATGATAATTATTCACAATTGTGGAGGTTATACTATACTATCATGATATTTCATTAATTTAGGCGACATGCGATACTATGATGATATTTCATGATTTTGGACGACACTGTACTATGACGATATTTCATGATTTTGGACGACATACTATGCTATGACAATATGTCATTATTTTGGACGACATGCTATACTATGATGATATTTCATGATTTTGGACAACATACTATACTATGATGTTTTTTCATGATTTTGGATGACATACTATACTATGACGGATTTTCACGATTTTGGACAACATGCTATACTATGACGATATTTCACGATTTTGGACGACATGATATACTATGACGGATTTTCATGATTTTGGACTACATACTATGCTATGATGTTTTTTCATGATTTTGGACGACATGCTATACTGTAACGAATTGTCATGAGTTTGGAAGACATGCTGTACTATGATGAATTTTCACGATTTTGGATGACATGCTATACTATGACGGATTTTCATGATTTTGGACGACATGCTATACTGTGACGAATTTTCATGATTTTGGATGACATGCTACACTATGACGATATTTCATGATTTTGGACTACATACTATACTATGATGAATTTTCATGATTTTGGACTACATACTATACTATGATGTTTTTTCATGATTTTGGACGACATGCTATAATATGACAATATTTCATGATTTTGGACTACATACTATACTATGATGAATTTTCATGATTTTGGACGACATACTATACTATGATGTTTTTTCATGATTTTGGACGACACGCTATACTATGACAATATTTCATGATTTTGGAC